AATGGCTCACACAGTTTTAGAAATATACAAGTCCAGCTGGGTTGGTTCAAGTCAGGGTTCTCCTGAATCAAGTAGCTATGAAAGCCAATGAAGACCGAAAAGTGGATGAAGGGAGACGTCAGACAGGGCAAGATATGACAAAATACCCATTTATAAACTATCAAGGGCTCATGTGGGAGGGGGTAGTGGGGAGGGAGGGGAAAAATGAGGACCTAATGTCGGGCGTTTAAATGGAGAGAAAATGTTTTGAGAAACGATGTACAAATGCGCTTTACACAATTGATGTGTGTATGGATTGGGATAACAGTTGTATGAGCCCCTAATAAAATGTTAAAAAAGAAAAAAAAGTTAAGCAGACCATTTATGAAAGATTAGCCACTGAAAAGATCAACAACAATGGAATGTTTTCTAATATAGTGATGGAAGATGAGCTTTTCAGGTTAGAAAGGACTCAAAATATGATTAAGAAGAGTTGTCACTTAAAAGTAGGGTCTACCTCAATGACATAGATAAAGTTTGTGGTTCCCTCATTTGCTGGTGGAAAATTACTCAAAATGAGAAGAAACACTGTGAACATTTATTAATAAATAGAACTTAGAATATAAAAAGTATGAATCTAGAAATATTGTATGTCATACAAAATGTAATAGTATGCATAGAGATCAGCACACTAGGCGTTGGTGAGTTAAAATGGATTGGCATTGGCCATTGTGAATCAGACATTCATATAGTTTACTATACAGGAAATTGAAGATTCAAGAGGAATGGCATAGCAATCATCATCAAAAGAAAACATTGCAAGATCTATCTTAGAATATTGTGTTATCTGAGATGGGGTAATAACAATAGGCCTACAAAGAATACTAAATAAAAGGACTATTATTCAAATTTATACACCAATCTCTAAAGCCAATGATGAAGAAAACTAGATACTCTAGAAATGTTTTCAAAAATTGACAAAACATGTAATCAAGATGGATTTATAAATTCATGTAAATGTGAAAGCTAGAAACAAAGGGGAAAGAATAGTTGTTGGGAAATATGGCCTTAGTGATAGAAATGATGCTGAAGATTGCATGAAATAATTGTAAGACACTAATAGCTTCTTTAAGGCAAATATCTTTTCAACATCATAAATGACAACTATGCATGTGGATCACACCACATGAGATGCACAGAAATCAGACTGCCTAATTCTTTGAGGATAGACAATAAAGAAACTCAGTATCATCAGCCAGGAGACAACTACAAGAAGCCATCAATTGTTCATTTGCAAGTTCAAATTGAAGCTGAGGAAAGTTCAAACAAGTCCACAAGAGTAAACTTATTACTACCTTGAGTTTTCCCACTAGAATTTAGAAACCATTTCCAAGAATAAATTTCACACCTTGTACACTAATGAACAGAAATAAGAGGATCTGTAGGATGATATCAAGAATATCATATATGTGGAATGCTAATTAAAAAAATAAAAAAGAAAGAAAGAAAAATGGATTCTAGAAGAAACTCTAAAACAAGTTCATGAATATAGAATGGTTAAAGCAACTGAAGAAAGATGGAGTTAAAGAGCTAAGTAGAAAAATTTAAAGGACAGCTAGAGATGATAAATGATTATAATGAAACATGCAATGACCTGGGGTTAGAAAATCAAAGGAGAACATGCTCAACATTTCTCAAGTTGAAAGATCTGAAGAAACAATTCAAGACTTGAATTGCCATATTTAAGGATACTATGATAAAATTCTTGAATGAAGCAGGAAGCTTCAAAATCAGATGGAAGGAATATATAAAGTCACCGCGCCAAAATAATAGGTAAATGTTCAGCCTTTTTCAAAGGTAACATATGGTCACGAACCAAAGGTACTAAAGGAAGATATCCAAGATAAGTGTAAGCGTTGGCAAAAAAAAAAAAATACATGAATTAATAGAATATTAATTAAATTTTTCCAATAAACAAATGCAGCACTGGTAAATTTTAAGAGAAGTAGCTAAAAATGAGAAAGTGATTGCAGTTAGAATGTGTAGATACTGGTGGCACAAAAAATGCCGAAATCCACTTTTAGTACTATTTTTAAAGTAAACAAGCGGCCATCTAGCCCAGAAGCAACAAAGCCCACATGGAAGCAGCACACCAACATGTGTGATCATGAAGGGCCAAAGGGA